TGGGCTTGCAGCGTGGCGTAGTTAACCGAGTTGTCCGCCACGCTGGGCCACAGGCTGGCCATCAGCTCGGCGCCGGTGGCGTTGCGGACGACGGCAGCCATCTGGCTGACGTTCGGCCACAGCCGCGGGTCCAGCGCCCAGTCGCCCTGGTGCGCCCACGACTGGTAGTCGATCACGATCAGCGAGACGGGGATGTCGTGCGCCGCGAAGCGGCGCGCCAGCTGCTCGACCTCGCTCTGGTTCTCGTAGCGCAGCTTCGACTGGATGTATCCCAGGCTGAAGGCGGGCGGGGTCGGGGCCCGGCCGGTCAGCGCGGAGAGGCGGCGCTGGAGGGTGTCGTATTTGGACACGGTGCTGTTGCTGTTGTTGTTGTTGGCAGAGTCGTCGTCCGCAGCGACGATCACGTAGTCGACGAGGGTGGTCGACTCGGCGACGAATTTGGTGCGCAGCGCCCCGAGCTCCATCCGGCCCTCGGCGGGCGTGTTCCACACGAACGCGTAGCCCTTGTTGCTCATGAACACCGGGGTGGGGATGTAGGTGTTGAAGTTGACCAGGTCGATGACCGAGCCCTTCTTGTTGATGCGGTGGTCTTGCTGCGTGCCCGTGCCGTAGATCTGCTCGTCTGGCGTGGCGCTGAAGCTGAATTCCGCGCGGAACTCGGCCCCCGGGCCGGGCCACGTGTAGCTCCGGGGGTTGAGGGACTTGAGGGGAGCGTATTCGTTGGTGAGAAGCGTTTCGCTGCCGTCGGCGTTGAGACGCGAGAAAGACAGCCGGTAGCCCCCCTCGTTGCCGCCCCAGCCCGTCGTGCGGAGGAGGAGGTTGCCGTTGCGGAGGGTGAGGGGCGTTTCGCCGGTGGAGGTCTGGTCGTAGCTCATGCCGTGGGCGGTGCCGTTCTCGAAGCCCTCCAGTGGTGGGTCGTAGATGAAGCTGATCTCCTGGCCGGTAGGGGGGCGGAACGGCCAGGCGCGCACGCGGAAGCCATCGTAGCCGTAGGGCTGGATGAGGAGGGTCTCGAAGCCGTGTTGCAGGCGCAGGCCGGTGGAGTTGGGGTGGAAGTAGTCGGCCAGGCAGTGCCCGACCACGAGGAGTGTGAGGAGGAAGTACATGTTGCTGGACGCACTATTTCTTGCGTAGAAAGGGAGATGAACATGACTGCAAAGTATTTAAGCACGCTGGAGTGATTTAGCCGATTAGCCTAAGACAGGAGGAAACCATCGTACGACGAGCAGAATCAAGGAGTACATGCGGACTCTGTTGCTAGCGGGAGGGGTAGTGTCGATCAATGTCGATCAGGCAAGGGTCTTGAGGGGGGTCGGAGTTTGAGCGAGACCGAGGCGATTGCAGACATCTGGGCATACCGGCAGAATGAGGTTGTTGCGTATAGGGCTTGCGTATCAGGTGACCTGCCGGAGCATTGCTGGATCGCATCACATCAACTCCCAACAGAATTCTGATGTCGGAGATGCTCTGGTATAGTAGGTGATGGTCGTTTGAAGTTGCAGTAGCCTCCGCCGGGATTTCACTCTTTCTTCTCGGTGGGCCTGTCGGGATGTTCCGTCCGTATGCAGCCTGACGTGGCCGTGCAGCTTCAAACCGAGGGTTCCGGATGTGCAGCAGGCCGACCTGCCAAGCCCGAAGAAGATGTGGCTGATCCTTTGGTTCTGGAGAAGATAATACCGACAAGACTGTTGTCTGAAGGAAGAAGATGAGCCTCTTGCTAAGATTTATCTGAGAAGTGGTGTCTCTGGCGCAAGATGCACTAACATTAGAGGCCCTGACAGCCATACTCCATTCCTACCTCATTTCCTCTATATTCCACCTGTAGTTTGCATGAAGCACTGAGCCCTTCCCTATACACCAAAGCCAATAAATTAGTCCTGAAGCTATGAGGATCACAGCCCCGTCAAGGGCTGTGTTGTGTTGATGTCTTGGGGTGATGTGCACCACAAATTGGCCGGACCGGAGCCAAAACAAATGACCGGGAGCGGAGACCCCTCCAAAGACCCGATTTTATTGGCTCGCTCGCCGGTCCTACGTCACAACCTCGGCACTGCAGGTGCAGTCAGAAACCAACCTTCACTAAAGACACCATATCAAAACGAACACCTCATCCCAACCAAAAGCTACAATTGACTCACATTACCCAAACCATTCACCCGCCCTGAACCCCGGGAAACCGTTCTCCCGGGACCTTTCATATAGAAATCCCCTCAATCACCGCCTCCCCCTCAACCACGCCCACGACCTCTTCCACACAAACAACACAACCATGACCAAGTCCAGGCCCACCCCCCCCAACCCACTGGGCATCGCCACCCTCAGCCTCGGCAGCGCAGCCCACCACCCCCTCGAAGCGCGCCTCCACGCCGCCGCCGCAGCAGGATACACCCACATCGACCTGTTCGACGACGACTGGGCGCGCTACCTGAGCGCGCACCACTCGCGGGCCCTCCCCCCACCGCGGACCCCCTGGACATCCACCCCGGAAACCCTCCGCATCGCGGCGCAGCTCGGCTCGCTCGCCGCCTCCCTCTCCCTCAAGATCGCCTGCACGCAGCCCTGCCGCGAGATCGAGGGGATCGTGGACCCCACCGCGCGGCGCGCCGCCCTGGACTCCGTCGCCGCCCGGTTCCCCTTCATGCGGGCCTTCGGCACGGATCTCGTGTTCCTGTGCGCCAACATCCGCACCGACGAGGGGGTCACCGCCGATTTGGAGGTCGTGGCGACGGACCTCGCCGAGCTGGGCGATATGGCGCGCGCGTACGCGGAGGCCGACGGCGGGCCGATGCTCCGGATCGGGTACGAGGGGCTCAGCTGGGCGCGGAGGAATACCTGGGCTAGTTCGTGGGAGGCGGTGCAGGCGGCGGACCGGGACAATGTGGGGTTGGTCGTGGACGCGTTTAATGTTCTGGCGGTGGAGTGGGCGGATCCGTATGCTGCTGATGGGTCGGGGAGGGTGCATGGGGACTTGGAGGTGGCGAGGCGGGGGTTGAGGGAGTCGATGCGGAGTTTGGTGAGGAGTGTGCCTGCGGAGAAGATCTTCTTCTTTCAGGTGGGCGATGCGGTGAGGGTGGGGCTGGAGGAGGTCCGGGGCTGGGATGTGCAGGGTGATACGCCCAGGCTTTTGCCTTGGTCCAGGGGGTATCGTTTGTTTCCTGGGGAGAAGGAGAGGGGTGCGTATTTGCCGGTGGAAGTGGTGGCTGCTGCTGTGTTGGAGACGGGGTATGAGGGCCCCGTCTCGTTGGAGGTGTTTAATCACTCGTTGAGTGAGAAGGACGCCTCGGTGCCAAGGGTGCATGCCGAACGGGGGATGAAGGGGCTGAGGTGGTTGTTGGAGGAGGTGGCCAAGGTGCCGGCTTTGGGGGATGCGACTCAATAGTATAGATGAGAGATTGTTATGCTATACTGTATGAGATACTGAGTGAAGAATCAAGTCAGACTGTGCTGTCTGCTGAATGTGCTCGACATCATCCCCCCTAGGGCAAGAATCATATGGCTGGAGAAGACAGGTTCATCGTGTATACTAGAGTATCATAAACCACAGCAAAGTATCGAGTATCATGACCATCGCATCAAACAGAGAGTATCGTAAAAAAACACAAAAGACAGCAACAACTAACCGGCCCAATACATCTACCGCGTCATATCATTATCATCCCCCAACCTAACGCCAAAAATGCAACGCCAATAACCAAAACAACCAACCTCTCAGCAATCATCCTCCTCCACCACCACCAACCGCTTCTGCTCCGAGCACTGCTCGCCCTGCGGCGACGACGGCGATCCATACTCCTCGCTGAGCGCCCTCCGATACGTCACAATCGCAATATAATCATGCAACGTCCCCAACAACTGCAACACCACCGCCGTCCAGATCATTCCCTGGAAGGTATTGCCCCCGACCGCCGAAATCCCCTTTTCGCTGCCGGTCTCACTGATCAAATCCACGAACTCCTTGGCGATGACACTTGCGATGGTCGCCGCAATCCCGAAGCTGAACACGCTGGTCTGCTTGTCATTAGACATCGTCTTACACCATACCGCGAGGAAAGGCAGGGGCTTACCAGGAAAGCATAGAACTCCACACTAGTCAGGGGCGTCTCCAGCTCGGTCCCCGTGCCGGGGTAGCGTGGAGGCTGGGAGGCGTAATCCGGTCGCGAGGCCCGGGCGGACGCGATCGTCCAGATACGGAGGGCAATGGCAACAATGGCAGCCACCGTTCCGAAAATCAGGAAGAGCACCATCGTAGTATTCGTGGGCTTCAAGGCGTGGAAGTCATCGGTGATACAGGAAGGCCAGCTGCCGGGCTGGAGACCGGTCGGAGGGTTGCCCAGCGCTTGCTGGATGGCGTCGCCAGGGTTGAACTCGAAGAGGACACTGCGGTCCGAGCACTCGGTGATGCGGTCCTGGATGGTCGTGGTGTTCGACTTCTCGTCGATCACGCAGGTTTCCTGGTACCCGACGCAGTAGGACATGGGATAGATGGTGAAGAAGTCTGGCGCCCCGTCACCGCCGGCGCCGCTGGTGTACAGCTAGAAGACGCTAAGTTAGTGGGTTGGTTCCTCCTTGCTGGGGCTGGGCATTACATACCGTCATAAGATTGCCCTGCGGCAGGAATTGGCGTTGACTCCCGGAGAATAGACACAGAACCCCCAAGAGAAACGAGGTGAAAGAGCCGATGACCGGCAGGAGAGAGCGTAGGGAGCTCATGTTCGATATAGTCTTCGTTGAGTGTTGTCGGTGTCGAGATGTGTTGCCCGCTGAAACATCGGGGTTTGGTCGCCAAGCTTCCTCATGTGCACCGTCCCGGGGGATGAAAGTGAATCGTTGATAGAGTTCAGAGCCATCGAAACTCTAAGGACTGGCGCAATATATGGCACTGTGATTCCGACCCATGTTCCTCCATCCGGCGCCGTCTGCGGTGCCCAGCCGCCTCGATTTCAGGAATACGGCCCCAAACGGACGATCGCCGCCTCCCGAGAGGGATGGAGCTTGGTATGGGCCTCGTTGACCAGGTCGACTCCCTCGGGTTGCTCTTGGAGATTAGTGATCTCAGCGATTGAGGTACGAGTAAGAAGAGGATGCCGAAGCGGCCGTTGCGGTCACCAACATTGCTTGCAGCCACCATTCGACAGGCAGACTGACACATGACCAGGAGAGCCGAGGTGATATCATCTCTGCATTAATGCGATCTTCTGTCTATCATTGCCAAAATCTCGTGACCAGGGCGCCACAGCGGGACCTCTCCGATGCAACCGTCTCCGTTGTGAATAGATGGCAACCCAATTCAGCTAGGTGAAGGTTGATCCCGCAACCCCGAAGCGGATCTGATTTCCGCCCCGATCCCATCCCCCAACCCTCCCTCTGGAATGTCCTTGAAACGCAGGGGCCAGCGTACCACCACAACAAATGCACCTCACGTTGCACGGGGAATGCTGGTGCAGAGGGTACCTGAGCGCGATCATTTCTCTTCTCGTGATTGGTGGATCAAGGCTCCGGTACTCAAAAGGGCGGATCCTGGTACTTGGTAGATTCGGACCGGCTTGGCGGTAAATCAGAGATTCTTGGGAAATTGGTTCTTCACATGGCGTTGCTGTGGGAACTGAAGTACTACTCCATACGTTCATGGAAATCTTGTCTGTGGGGGAGGCAATGAGCAGTGAAATCTCTGACTCAGCCAACCCTGGCTCCTTGTAAACCCCTGACGCTGACGCCGAGAGATGGCCGCAAAGACGCCTTTGATCCTGCCATCGATTACTTAGCATGTGAGAATGATAGAGGACTGCCTTCTGGCCAGTCAGCTCATCACCGCCCATTTCAGAACTCGACTAAGCTTTCGACTGTGTAAACCATCATGTTCGCTTGTGAGGTCTGTAAACGTGGGACTCCTGGTCTATCCAAGCAAAGCACCCAAGCAATGCCCCAATGCAACCAGCGAGGTCGACTGGCGAGGTGGCTGGAAAACTCTCGACAGGTACTCCGGCCCATATAAGTAGGTCCCGTGGCCGCTCTCAACCCAGCGGAATGATTGTGTAGCCAACCTGTGTAACATACTCCCTTGTAACAGTGCTTGTTATCTGTGGGGAGCCGGCCACGCCTGGTCGCAATTGTCGCAATTGACTTCTAACGTCCTCTGTAGAGGTAGCTTTCGGGCTGACTGAGTGTCTTGAGGAGGCAGGAATATTCCTGTCCAAAAACAAGCCCATTGTTTTTGAAACACTGCAAGCACATGGTCTTGACACGAATTCGGTCGGAGCTCAGCTATAATAGCTCGCCACTGACCAAAGTTTCCACGGAATGTGCGAAGCTCACATCCGTCAATAGAAGGGGTCCGTTTCTTGTTGATGAGCCGTGTTGTCTGTCTGCTCTAAGCTGGGATCGCTGTGGGACGGAAAGAAGAATGAGAGAGGGTCTCAGTTTACTTGAAGGATGCGAGCTTGGAGAGGATCAGTAGAAGCCAGTCAACCCCGATCTTTCTGCTTTCCCTATGACTTGGTGACTGGGAGCATGGAGATGTAGTAAGCGTACAAGAATATTGTTTGCGGCGGTGGTAGATAGTAAAGCATTGCCTTCCAAACTAGTGTCTTGGTTTGCTCTCTCGTACCCCGTATCTCGATACGGCACCTTTGCTGAGGCTTGTATGTTGAATCCTTCCGTTAAGGCAAAGTATTCTCTAGTCCAAGCCTGGGTTTCGCAGTGTCAAGCAATGGTATCCACGCCATGTCGTGAAGGATGAAATCTGCAGCCATTGTAGATCAAAGTTTAATCCATTTCTTCATCTCCTGCAGAAGGAGAGACGGGCCTGAAGGCTTTGACCCCGACAATGGCCGGCGGTTAAAGTTCGAGAAGCAGCCCCTACATAGCAACGCCGCATCTTGTCTGATGGAATTGGCAAAGATAATAGTTGAATTCCCGAACCGTACGTAGTTTCATCATTTTTCTTTGATTTTGACGCACGTTCCAGTTCTTGCTGAGCTGATGCGCATCGTTGGCTTGTGATCGTATCTGGTGTGGCTGGAGTGGCAGTCCACTGCTGCACAGAGGTTCTATTAATCTAGGTGAGTTTCACATTCCATCTGCCCTATGCCTCCTTCAGCTGTTCCGTTGGCTCCACAAGCGGCGCCAGCTTACTCTTCCTTCGTAGACGTGGGCCGTACACGTAGAAGAGTATAGGAATCGGAATCATCACCACCGCAATGCACCCAAGCAAGGTACCAGCCCATTGGATGCCTAGATTATGGAACATCTGCTCCGTGAAGAGAGGGAAGACTGCCCCTACCATGGACCGCATCATGGTATTGGCTGCGAAGGCCGACGCAGCACTGCAATGGGTTAGTGAATGCGTTCATGGAGAAGTGAGCTCGGAAGGTTAGCTCACAATTGCAAATATGAGTCCAGCAGATAGTTGAATCCCTGCATGAAAATTGAAGTAATTCCAAACCCGACCATGACTCCGGCGGCCGTAGGAGCCATCCAGTGAATAGAACTGTTCCAGCCTGTCCAACCGAACCTGTATGATCTGTTAGCAAGCGATGAACCATCACAGGACGACGATTCTTACCAGAACAAGCCCCCTGCAAATGCCACACCACCGATAATACATGGCAGCAACCGCCATTCGGGAACGGGTACATTGTTGTTGGCCTTCAGCTTCCGAGTATATGACCCTTGCATGGATAAGACAAAAGCGCTGCCAGATATTTCTCCGATAATCAGGCCAATGAAGGGTAAACCGGCCACCCCTCCAGTCATACCATAGGTGCCGGAAAATACAATCGGGTATGCCTCGAGCAAGGCATACGCTAACCCATAAATAAAAGACATATACAAAGTAAGCAGGAAGGCAATCGGTTCGGTGAAGAGAATCAAGAACGGGCGGGCCAGATTTTTCGTCACCAACTCCTTCAGATCGATTTCCAATTCAGCCTGGCGTGCATGGATGCCCCAGTTTCGAGTCTGGCGTCTGAGGATAGCTGCCTTCTGTACTAGAATGACAGGGGCGTATGTCTCTTCACAGAAAACTATCATCAATGCCAGACTGAAGAATCCGACGATAGCAGGCAAATAGAGGGTCCAACGCCAGCCGAGATAGCTCTCAGTGATGAAGCCACCGATAAAAGGTGCAGTAAATGGTCCTGTGAATACGGACATCGTATACATGGCAATCGCAATTCCTCGTTGTTCATTGTTGAAGAGATCGGAAAGACTGGCAGGGACCAGGGCGATGACGCTGGCCGCACAGAATCCCGAGAAAAAGCGGGTCAGCATGACGGTTTGCGTATCTTTAGCCGTCGCGCAAGCGATGGTAAAGATGTCAAATCCGAACATGCCAATCATCAATGGCCATCGCCGACCGAGCAATTCGGAGCAGGGCGCCCATACAGTCGGGCCAGCCGAAAACCCCAGTACGTAGAGAGTCGTGCCCAGAGCGGCAACTTCGGAACCAAACCCGAAGGCTTTCTCGACCTTTGAGGCCGCCGTTGCGAAAACCGCGCTGGCGAAAGCGGTGACCAAGGCACAGAAGGTCAATAGAGAAGCAATCATGACTCTGGGAAAGCATTAGCAGGTATAAGCACACGGCAAATAAGACGTGCCGTACCTCCGCTTGAGGGGCCAATTCTGGGGGTGCATGGGGTCGTCGGCTCCGTCAAACTCCACCACATATGCCTCCGAGTCCGGAAGGGCGGGCGGATAGGGCTTTCCGGCACCCATGGGGAGCCATTGTTCACGCGGGGTACGACTACGATTAGATCCGACCGTGAGTTGTTGTTGCAGACGGTAGGTGTTGATTCGTTCCAGCTCAATGGTATCATGGTGGTCCGGGTACTCCGCCCGAGAATCGCGCCGGGAAGACCTGGCGAAATGGTCCGAGACCGAGGAAGCGTCCTCGGCCTCGAGGTCATACTTCTCGGCAGGAACTTGACTCATGTTCACAGTTCAAAATCTGTGCCCGTGAGGAATTTCCTTACGGCGACGGCGGCGAGAGACAGGAATGAGCAGGACACCACGATCCAATGGGGGCCAAAGAATCATTTAAAAGGAGCTAGGTCCTGGCAAGCTGACCGGTTTTTTCGTCTCTTCCCTCCTTCAAAAAGTTTTCCTCCCGGATGCCGATGCCGGTTGAAGTGGGTCAGAGACGGGGCCATTATGTCGAGATCCATAGTGCGTATCTTGCGAGTTCCGAGAGTGGCAATCCACCACTTATCGCCAGGGTGCCAGCTGCGCTGAATGCGGGTAAAGCCCGGCCGCGGGAAGAAACGGAGTCATAGTCATTTCGTGGGATCATTCGCTTGGATTTCACCATCGTCGAGTCGAGTGAGGCAAGTCAATGTGGCAGGCAGGCGACAGGTGTTAATTGTTAATTCCGCAGAGGTGAGCGACCACGGCTGCGAGTGGATCCAGACGGGAAGCACATCATCGGGTACTCGGCATCAGGCTGAGTTGAGGGAGTCTGGGGGCCAGCCAGGAACCAGTTAGTATAGCACCAAATCAGAAGATAAGCAGATACACTCGGGTCAAGCATACACAGATCGATAGTCAGTGCATGAGTAATCCACTCATTGGGAGCAATGCATCACTGTGAAGCAGCTCGAAGGCCAGTAGCGCCGAGCCCAGTCCACCTCCACCGCAGCTGCGCGTGGCTGAGCAGCCTAGGGGATTGCTGGAAAAGACAATCTTTTCTTGTAAATATTCAGATTGCTGATTAGGATCGTATGATCCGGAACAATGTCAGAGAAGAAGATAAGAAAGATGAGATGTTGTGTAGATCCGGAGAGCAGTTGGAATATAACGAGGAAGATGGGGAAAGAGGAGAAAATCGGGGATGGGGGAAGCCGTACTGAGTACTGTACCCGGAGTTGATCCGCTCCGGCTGGCGGAATTGATTCCGTGGCCACATTTTCACCTTCAGTCAGTTCTTTCAGGGACCAGTGCGCACAGACCAGCTAAGTGCTGCTACATGTACCTGCCACACCACCCAGATCACCTGCCCCAGGTGAATAGGTAGGCATCTCCTGTACCAGACACAAGCTCTTGGTATAAGAGTCGGCTTCGGCCCGCAGGTAGATCCAACCCCGTCCCTGTGTCGGCTTCTCACAAACAAAGTCCGAGAGGCCCTACACTCCATCGTTATAGCAACTTAACTCCATGTTATTTCATTTCTGCTCGAATTACTTACTACCTTTCATCCCCGCATGGGAAGCTGCACGGATAATAGTCCGAAGCATTTGACATGCTAAGTATAGCACAAACATACGGTACATAACAAACACGATGTGCGATGATTAGATACGACATTACCCCGCGGGGAATTATCCCAGGAAAAGGGATTCCGAGACACCCACGCTGTTCCACCTCGGCGGGAAATGCTTCCACTTTGGTCCATGGCTCGTGTTGAGTCAGTCACCAGGATATATAAAGGTGGCATGCGGGGTCTGCATGACTTCATCCACAATTGTTTTGCCTTCAACTAACAACCCCTCCGACCCGTCACGTTGCTGATATATAGTAACATTGACCCCCCTCTGGTCCAACCACCACCTGAAAGACGAATAATTCCTTTCTGAAATCCATCTCCGCACAATGATCTCCGGCATTCATCACGTTAATATTCTCGTGCCTGATGGCACCCTGGACCAAGCCACCGAATTCTACAGCGACACTCTCGGCCTAGAATCAGCCCCCGTTCCCGAGCTTCAGAAGGGGACCATCCTTTGGTGCGTCCCGATCTCTCAACATCTTAGAATACCGCGATCCATTTGCTTACTGGAGAAGGTTTAACCTTACCCCCGATGGAAGTCAACAAATCCACGTCAACCTGGGCCCTAACCCCGAGCTCGACTCCCAGCGCCACGCCTGCCTGCGCGTCTCCTCGCTGGATGAGTTACAGACGCTGCAGAACCGCATCCTAGCGCATCAAGAAAGCGGAGGTCCCGCGGCTCCGATGGAGGTAGATCGGTTGGGAATGTGCTCGGGTCCGACGGGGGAGGAATATCCGCGTCGGTTCTTTGCCCGAGACTTTGCGGGCAATCGACTGGAGTTTAGTGTTTAGATCAGTGTAAGGGGTCGGAAGTGGATGTTTTGTTCTGCTTTCTTTTGCTTTCTTGTTCTTTCTCTCTCTCAGATTGAGCGTTCGCAAGTGCAGATTCCGTTAACTTTCTTCGGTTGTGCATCGCGTACTGGCTGTTTCCAATCAATCCGCATTTCGGGACCCTGCAGGACAGACCACGAGTCTGTAGTTAACTATGGCTGGTTGTTCTGCGCAATGTGTGGAGAACATGGGGATGTCAAAATGTGGGAAGAGTTGAAGAATCAACGACCCATCCAAATACCCATATACTAGTAAAAGAATTGGGTAGAGTAGTGTAAACAAGCCACAATGAGTATAAGTTATTCATTATTTGAGATGTTTTCTCTTGAAGGCAGCAACCAAAGGCAGAATCCCCTACTAAGTTGACCGCCTACCGGATACAGCTCCGACTCCTGAAATGGATGGATCTCCGCCAATCCACCATAATTTCTCTCCATTGCCAAGGCTAAGGAAGGTACTCCGTACTCTCCGTGGCTGCCATCGCTTTCATTTACCCTTTTCTTCTCCAGCTGTGCCTTCTCCTCCCCACCCTTCCACTTTCTCTACTACTCTACTCTACTCCCTCTTCTCTCCAGGCTATCTCTCTCCCTCCCTCTTTCTCTCTTCCTTAATACCTGGTGACGTCCAGTTACCTTCTCACTTCCCTCTTCAACCAAGCTTCCCTGTGGGACTTTCGATCGCCTGGCTGTGCAGGGTATGTGAGAGGTGGTGGATGACCCTGCTTCTTTTCTGTTGCTGCTGCTGCTGCTGTTGTTGTTATTGTCGTTGGCGGCTCACCTCCGCATGAGGCTCGATACACTATCTTTACCAACAAGCTCCAGTAGGCGATCGCGCCTTTCCCTCTCTCTCAGTCCCTGAAGTCTTGCTTCTCTCCGTTCACACATCTGCTGCTGCTGTGATCCGGGGTGCTGTATTCTCTCCCCTGAGTGGCCGATTGTTAATCAGCTCCCCCTCCCCACTTCACTTGACAGCCACAACGTGGGATTTCTCTCAGCGCCGATCCATCCACTGCGAGCTTCCTCCTTTCCTTTCCTCCGGTCGCGTGCGCTCAACCTCGCCCCCCTCCTCCACCATCCGGGTCTACTTTCTCTGTTGCTCGCTGCAATCATCATGGCACACTACAAGAATGGCTACCCGATCTACGGCCAATCAACGAATTCCCCTCCGGCCTCAGCGCAGCCCACCCGATATGACCTGTATGCCACTCAGCCCACCAGCCCACAACTCCGCCGCATGCCTAGCTACAACGTGGGGGACGATGCAGCACTTCTGGGATCCGCCCAGCCACAGAACGCCAGAGCGACCGAGGTGAATGCTCGTTATGGGGCTCAGGACCGCGAAGACCATGCAGACCCACGCTACGCGCATCTTCCCACTCCCTCCTCCCCTCAGATGTCTCGCACTCGCGCATCCTCGCAGTCCAGCTACCAATACCAATACACCTCGTCGGTCTCCGCCGCTACCTCCCCCACTCAGCTCGCGTATAATCCTCAACAGTACGCGCTACCGCCCACTCCGTCCCAGCAGCAAGTCGGTTTCAGCCCGATCGCATACTCGGGTCCAGCCTCCCCGCAAAGCAACCCGATCGCTGCTGGTCATCAACCGTACAACCCCGCTGCCTACCAGACTGCCAGTATACACCCAGCTGCGATTCAACGACAACCGTCCTTGACATATAACCAGGCTCCTCCCACCCCGCAGACATACGGACCTCCTCATCCACAACTTCCACCGCCACCGCCCCCTCCCCGAGGCCCGGATCATCCCTATGGAAGCAGACCGGCTGCGCAGTATGGAGGGGTGTCTCCGGCTGCGCAGTACGGCTTTGCACAACAGTCCTCCTACAATATATCCTCGCCTGCGACTTTTGGTCCTTCTGATCCGAATCCTCCCGCTTCTCCTCCGTACGTAACAAGCGCCCAATTGTCGAATTATGTCCCTCAGTCCCCCCGTCGATCCGATGCCGTTATGCCTTCCGCTTCAGATGATCAACCTCCCGTGCCCCCAGCGCATTCGTCAATGGGAGACGACATCTATGCAAAACGTGCAAGCTTGACACTTTCCGGCAGCGGAAGGTCCTTGCCAACTCCTCCCGTGCACCAACTCCAATCCCCGGTGTCACCGCGCCGCACAGATACGCTGACGCGACACCCTCAAGCTCGGCCCCTGCCAGGTCCACCGGTAGATGCCGAAACCGACCTGTATGCCGACGCACAAGATCCATCTTATCAACTCTCTCCTGATGAAAGTCACACTCATACCAATGGAAGCATGGCCACTGGAACGGGCCAGTATGTGAATTACGACGCCTATAGTGACGACAGCGATGCGGAGGCAGCGGCAGGTCTGGCAATGTTGCAAATGGCCGATGAGGAGGATCGCGCTCAAGCCGAGCGGTTGCAGGACCGTGCGCGACGAGAAACCAACGCATCGATCATCAGTGCTTACGGAGCGCGATCAGACACACAGGCAACATCTCCCCTCACTGACTGGCCTCAGGATGACCAATTCTCCTACGCGGATGGTAGTTATGGCGAAACAGGAGGATACGATGAGAATGGCTACGCCACTGATGGCTATGGTGATGACCGATTGCCAGCCACTTCGGGCTCATTGAGGGGCTCCCATCTGTCGGCAGATGATCGCGACGACTATGTGGAGGACTACGATTATCCGCCCACGCTTGACTCGGCTGGGTACCCTTATGCGCAGATGCCTCATCATGCCCGAGTGGATGCTGGCGGCACGGGAGGGTTGTCCGAGCCTGGGGCTTATCAGCGCCGAATGAGCTTCGATTATGGTGATGAGACTAACGGCCCGCTGGGGGAACATCAGGACCTCCAGCAATCGGAAAGCGATAGCTCCGGCCAGGGGGGTGAACCAGGGGACCTCTTCTTTCATCCCGGGATGCGGCCCCTGCCTCCAGCTCCTGTCGAACCGGCCAGCAACCCGAATCTTCGGTCTCACTTGATGCCGGCCGGAACGTATCGTCACCAGGACCAAGCGGATGTGCGGGATGCTACCCAGTATTCTCCCTCTTATTTTCCTGTTGCTCCTGATTCCTACAACCCGGCCGTGTCCAATTCTGCTCAAGTGCCACGGTCCACATCTCTATCGAGCCATCCAATTGGACCTCGTACTGACCCCCCTATCAGATCGAAAACGGATGCAGATCGGGCCAAGTACAAGCAGCAACAGGAGTTGCTCCGGCAGCAGCAGTATGGCGCGCTTAGGTTTGACGATTCTCCCGATGCTGCTGCGGCAGCGATGGCGCTCGATCTGCCTGCCATCCCCGCTGGACGCCGCAAAAAGTTCAACCCCGCTAAGCTCTCATCCGAGCATTTCCGTCGCTGTTCGGAGCCGTGGGCGTTGAGCTCTGTCTTGTCCTGGATTCGCGAGCTCAGTGAGGAGGAGACGGACCTCAAGGAGCAGGCCATTGTGGATGCCATTGTGGCCTTGTTCACCCACAAAGTCCCCACCATGAACATGGCGGACGCTGAAACCTTGGCTGCCCGCGTGGTGAAGAACATGCTCACCGAAGAGGCTCTTGTGAAAGACGAAGAGTGGGTCAAATTCAGTTCGGGCACGATATCTGGAGTCCTATTCCAGATTACTGGCACGGGATGCTACTCACCCCGGTTACACGAACATGAAACGGAGGTGTTCGGCCGGTGCTACTCCCATCACTGCATGCGAACGCTAAAGAAGGTGAATTTGAAGGCGCAAATGATGGAAGCGGAGAAGAAGGCCGAAGACTGGGTCACTTTCTACAAAGTTCCCAAGGAGATTTGGGAGACATATCCAAAGAAGGAGATTGATCGCCAAAATAATCTCCACGAGATTGTAACCACCGAGGACTCGTTCATTGCTCAACTTGACGTTCTGCGAGAGCTCTACCGTGATCAATTGACTCAAATACAGCCCGCGGTGATCAAGCCCAAGCGTCTGAGCAAGTTCTTGAATGATGTCTTTGGAAAGGTGGATCCGGTCAAGAAAGTCAATGAGGACTACCTTCTCGCGCAACTCAAGTACCGTCAGAAGGAGCAGGGACCATTCATTGCTGGTTTTAGCGATATCTTCCGCGAATGGATTCGAAAAGCCAGGGCTGTCTATATTGAATATGCGGCCACGTTCCCTCACGCCAATTATCTTGTTCGCAAAGAAGCGGAGGTGAACGTACCTTTTCGGCAGTTCCTCAACCAAGCCCGTGACCATAAAATGTCGAATCGTTTGAGTTGGGATACCTATCTCAAAGCTCCAATCACACGTATCCAGCGCTACACGCTGCTTTTGACCACCGTGTATAAGAACATGGTCAAAGACTCGGAAGAGAAAGCAAACCTTGCTCAGGCGATCGAAGAGATCAAGCAGGTGGCTCTGGAGTGTGATGCCAAAGTGGGCGAGATGACCAAGAAGGTCGAGCTGATAGAGCTCAGCTCGAAGCTGCAGCTTCGCCCGGAGATGAAGAAAGAAGTGGAGCTGAACCTGGAACATCTGGGCCGTCAAATCGTTTTCCGAGGAGACCTGCAGCGACCCGGCACGCGAACCCGTTTCTTGGTGGACACCCATGCCATTCTCTTTGATCATTATTTGGTGCTGGCCAAAACGTTTACGACTCGTGACCCGTCGAGGACGATCAAGTACGAGGGATACGATGTTTCGAAGCTGCCTATCCCCATGGACCTCCTGGTTTTGGAGAGCACCAACGATGATCCCGTGGTCAAATCAGCGGTTCGTGGTGTGGCTACCATGACCCAACCGCAGGCCGTCAACCGCGGTGTAGGCGGAAACACTTTAGCCCATACTGCTAGTGGTAACTCGGCCAGTTCTGGAAACTCAGGCTCGAGCAAAACGATGGTGCCTGCAACTGTGCTGGAAAGCTCCAAGGATGATAAGATCCTGTATCCGTTCAAAATCAAGCACCTGGGAAAGAATGGGACTTACACGCTGTATGCCTTCTCTTCTCAGAGCCGGCAAGAGTGGTGTGATAAAATCACCGTGGCGAAGACGAAACACGCCGCTGCATTGTTTGCACAGAACGCCGAACCTTTCAGACTCCGAGTGCTGGCTGACACTGCTTTTGCCACGTCTGAGGCTGCTCTGCCTCCAACGAGCGTGATCATTGATGCCACACCTCTTGACAGAGCCATCAGGGATGTGGAAGAGCGGTACGCAGGCTCGCCACGCCCGCCTCCTGTTTGCCGGACTGCGGTTCACTGTGCTACGGTCTTCCAGCAACCCCCGGGCCGAATGATGTGTGCTATCGGTACCGACTACGGAGTCTATATCTCAG